GACCCGAATGATTAAAGTTTTTGATATCACGGATGAAAGTTCGAAACTTAAAAACCAAATGATTCCTATAAAATCGGCTTACCTTAAAAAGACTGACATGTTTCTTCCATCTAAGTTACATCTCCTCGATTGTATACTAGTTGATTCACCAGCTGAAGAAGACAATCATTTGTCAAAATACGTAGACTTGAACGAACTTAGAGATTCTTGCAAAATGTGGAATCTGCATAAAACATCAGTTTAAAAAAATTCTGTTTATGAACATATATATTTTACATATTATCATAATACAAATGTTAGTTAATCCTATTCGATTACCAAATATTTATATATTATATTATTATTTTAAACATTAAATTCTTATATGCGAAAAAACTAACAGGAAACAAAAAATGATACCACTGGAAGCTGCGCTCATGTTTTGTTGGAGGATTCATTAAATGTAATTGAATTGAAATTTTTAGTTGAATTAAATTATTTTATTCAAAATTTTTATAAAGAAAGGAATTAGCGATTTTTAATTTAGCAATTCTTGAAATAGAAACTAGTGAATATCACTATTCGGGTTTTAGATCATACCTAAATCCAAGGATCGAATTGGACCTCGTCCTAAAAAGAAAACCTCTCCTTATACTCATACATACCTTGGAACCATCTACATTCTGCCTAATAATTAAGATTTTTCATAACTATGTTATTTATTTTCTGATTTATTGCTCCTGACTTTTGAAAAACGATAAAAATTAAAAAAAATTTCAATCCGAACTTGATAAAATAGTTATGTCAACTACTTTATTTGGTCTCATTCTTTGCAACTCAAACAAAGACTGATCGTCAGCTAGGTCTTTTCAGAGCTCTTCAGACCGCATTTAAAATATTAAAGTTAAGACCCTATCTTCTCGATCACTAAAATGTAAATGGATGTAATTATAAATTGATGCTAACTGGGGCTGTGTCGATCAACAAATTTTTTACCAATTATTCCATATTTTCCTTTATTTTTATATCATCCATTTAGATTAATTTTTATTTAACATATATCTTTGAACTAATTTCATACAAAAAAATAACTAACTGTAAATTATGGGCAAAACAAGAAACATTTTAAAATATTCTGTTTCTCATGGCCAATGCTATATTTGGTGCATTATCACTATGATTAAGTGCACTTTGTGTTATTCCCCAAAAGTTGAAAATTCGTTAAAAATATGGACAATGTTTATTTTTGTATATGACTCGTTAAATATTTTTAAATCCTTTTTTGGTTCCATATAATATAACGAGAATAATATCAAATTTTTAGCTACTCTTTTAAATAATCGATTTTTTTTAAACATTACAAATAAATTAAATTTTGGTTCCTTTTATTCGTTTATTATTATTAGGAAATAATGTAAGATAAAAAAAATAATATAAAATTAATTATATAATCATAAATAACCAAAAACAATGATAATAATCATCGTTTTTTTAATGAAAATATCAACCCGATAGATATTTAACATCGGCACAGCTAGTACTTACTGTAAGTTTACTAATGAAGGCCTTGGGTCTAAATTAAATAGGATCGAACTATTGGTGATCACTACTGAACTTAAACTAATTATATTTTTTTTAAATTTATATTTTTAACAATTTTGCAATTAATTTAATAAAAAAAGAAATGAAAATAAATGATTAGTATTCTATTTTTAATGCATTATATATCTTTTGAACTCGAATGCATATTTTTTTCATTAAAAGGAATGCGTCAAAAATTTTACCTTAGCTCTCAACACTATAACCTATTCTAACTTTGATCAAATTTCGGAGAGAGTTGCAAAGATTTTCTCATCCTTACAATTTTACGTTTCGACCATCGATTACCAAGAGAAAATCCAGGACTCAATCTTATCGATTGTCCAACGTATGACGGAAGCCTTGTTCATAAAAGCTATCAATGAAAGGGAATACGCGGTAATTCCTTTTGTTGTTTCTTTTCATTATTTATTCTTTCCTTACCTTACCTTTCTTTTTAATCAATATCAATAGTCATTAAAGAATACAACTAAATTTTATAATTTGTTAGGGAAGAAACTCCGTTTTTATCGGAAAACAAACTATTTTTGGAAATATTCATTACTAATACACTACTTTTCACAATCATGATACATCGATGCCACCTTTTTAGCTCACAAAACCATACCTCCAATACTAATGCGGTATCGGCTCATTACCTAATACCGATACTTAAAATATGAATGTAGTATATTTATTGGAAGAGCAAAGATATTATCTATAAATTACATCATTTATAATTAATATAATAATAATATCTACACGATTGAATCTTAGTCACGAATATGCCTGACATTTTGCAATTGCCTCCCCAATACAAGATCTTACTCCCATTACTGGGATATCCCTCGATTGAAACAAATGTGAAATGTCTCCCACGCATTCCACCCCAGTCCTTTTCTCATCTCTACAAACATGTAGAAAGGAACAAATTAATTAACACATTTAAACGTCCCTATCGGAGGTTAGGTGATCCTAATCTACTTTCTAATTAACTCTTGAGGCAATTTAGAAAAATTAAAGCCTTTCTTAGATTTCTTACTAATCACAGCTCCTTCTTTTAATAAAAATTTAACAATCCTAAGCTTTTCTAAAGGGCACTTCTAGCATCACGTTACTTTAAATCCAAATCCTCTTGAAACCCATTAGAAATTTGATAATGATTAATGCAATTTTGACGAAAATTTAACTGGTTTATATTTGGCTAACATTCCTTCATTTGCATTTTGAAGGTGGACAAAAGCATATGATCCAATTATAATATAAATAATAATCAATGAATATAAGAATTCTCAATTATTTTTATTTCAATTTGGTCAATAAAATAATGATATGATATTTAAAAATTGAGTATCTCGGTTTGAACAAAAATCACACTTAAAGCACTTCAATAATCAAACAAAGCAACGATCGAGGAAAATTTATAAAAAATATATTTTTAAATTATTTTGTTTTAAACATTTAAATATATTTTTCTGAAAATAATATTTTGAGCATGATTCTAATCTAGGCCTGAATTTGAATGACATATGATGTTCACATGTATATTAATTTTTCTTTTGTATATTGAAAAAAATAAACACGTTAACTATACACTTATTTTAATTATCAGTGATATTGGCAAAAATAAGTGATATCTTTGGTTACTGGTTAGTGATAGACTTAAAATTATGATTTAATTGGTGCTGTTAAAGGCTCGATTTGAGCGATTTTTTAAAACGGCTACTCAATATTTTATCTAGAAAAATATTACGCAAGCCTGAAGACTTTCCTCATAGATGGCACAAACTTTTAGTCATTTATTAGTGAAATCTCTATGCTTATGCAATATTTTTTTTCTGGCTAAAATATTAAGTAAGCCATTTTTAAAAATCGGTTCAAATCAAGCCATTTAACAACAATAGAATCGTATGTCCATAGCTTATTTTATCTTTTACTTATTTTAAAAGAGGAATGACTTGGTTTTTAAAAAAATCCCGTTTTCAATCCCTGTCCGAATTTATAAGAAAAAACATTTGAGGTCAGACCTTAGTTTTTTTTAAGATCTAGCACGTATTTATATGTTTTAAATGGAAATAGAAAAGGGGTGGAGCGAATGTATGAATATTAAAATCATAGTCAAGTGTTTCTTATTAGATATAATTTAAATTTATTTTAAAAAAATTAAGTTCTGTTCAGGTTATAATCTTATTTTAAAGCCCAGCTTGGGCTAATTAAATTAACATAAGAGTTTTTCCTTTACCCTACAGGTCTGACTGCTGTTGTGTAAATCAATAATTTATGGTGATGTAAATGGATATTTTTTATATTTTTTTAGTATCATTAAATCTTTCCTGAAAATATAAGGAAATATATGCCAAGCTATGCCAAAAAATGTTGGACAGAACAAAATCTAAAGACAAACACAATAGATCACCACATACTCTATCTCAAAAAGTTGTTATGGAATTACTTTCCAAAGTCCAGCATTATTTCGAAAACGAAGTAATATTACAAAATATATAAATTTGATTTTTTTTTAAATGACATTAATTGGAAATGGTGTTACATTTTTTTAAAAAATGAAATCGACGATTAACAGGTTATTTTTTTGAAAAGTAACTTGCATTACTTTTAACGTAACGAAACTGCATTAATTTTTGTAAAATTAAATTTAATTTATTTCCATTTTTTTTTATAAACTCGATTAGTGCAACACATTGAATTTTATAAATTATTTATCCTATTACTAACGATTGAATCTATTATTTTCATTAAAGTTTACAAATTACCTTCCTACCGAATATCAACACAAAAAACTTGGAAATTTACAGTTAATATTTTCGCCTTAAATTATTTTAAATATTTTGTGTTTTTTAAATGATATGCTCACCACAAATCGATTTTGTTTTAATAATTAAGTAGATAATTAGTTGAGAAAGTTTTCAGGACAAATCTAAGATAGGATAAAACCCCGTCCAAAAACAACATTTGACCGTCTTTAATTGTAAAGTTACCCTCTACAAACATATTAATTTTGATTTATGTTATTATTTCAAAATTAAATATTTTACATAAATTTTAATCATAGTTTGAAAATATCAAAAGAAAATATAAGGAATATTTTTTTTTCTTATTAATTTATATATCTAAATTCTGTTTTATAAATTGAACATTCTATTTATTTAAACAAAAAAAAATTGCAGCTTTATATGTCAACTTTATCAACATTCTCTCCTCTCGGATTCAATAATAAGATCTACTCTGAACAAAGTTTTACATGCTTTTATTACATCCTATTCCTCCCTTTCTCCGACTCATCCTCAAAATGTTCCTCTTAGTCCTGAAAAGGCTTTAACATATCTAAATATTCTAATTTCTGGAATTGGAGATAAATTTTGCATCAAGGAGGGTAATGAAAACTTCCTGATGTTGAATATATGCGAACAAATAAAAAAAATGGTATCTGATGATACAAAACCATCTCATATTATCGATGAAGATTTACGGGACAAAACGAGGGATTGGTTACGAAAAATATCGGATTTAAAAAATGTAAACTTTTTTAAAATTTTTTGTTACCATTTTTTAATAGTTAAATCCTTTTTTTAATCTATAATCATAAATTAAATATTAACATTTGCTGATGGATGGTTAGATTGTGAGCCATATTTAACAAAAACATAACCTTACCTAGTTCGCATCAGCTCTTAACTTATATTTAATTTAAATAAAATTAAACCACTTATAATATTTAAAATAGGACAAATATAAAAAATTTATCAAGATAGGTTCAAACTGCTCCACGACTCGGCCTATAATTGCATATAAAATGCAAATATAGTTTACTATCTTTTTGAAATTTATCTGAATTTAGATCACTTGTTTTAAAAATAAAAATTTGGAACCTGAAATAACCGATCCGAGTTGACCTTGGCTAAGAAAATAGCAGTCTTTCGTGAACGAAGTTCGTTTTTTGAAAAAATAATGAACGGCGTCCCTTTTATTTTTGACTAACTTTAAACCTGAACGCGTTCCTTTATTATGACCAATGCATTCAAATTTAACGTACGTTCAATTTTAAAAACACCTTATTTTTATTTATTTGAAAAATTTAATATTAATCCGAATTTTTTTTTTAAAAAAGTCTTATATTTTATAATCAACTGTTTTTCCTTTTTCATATTTCAATTTTTTAACACGCCATTATTATAGTTTATTTGAATATTATTGTGTATTTTTTAATTTAATAGATTAGCATAAGCATGGATAATATTCTTTCATCATCTGATTCTGAAAATTTAAAATCAGATGAATTAACATTACCATGGCCCAAATATGATAAATATTTTACAGTAACATCCTATATCGAAGGAACTAATTCAATACTTACCAAATCTAAAATATGCATAAAAAGTATATCAGTTTCAAAATTTTTAAGTTGCAATTTAAAGCGACATTTTATTGTAATATTATTTTTTATTTTATAAATATAACTAACTAAAATCATTAAATTTGAAGAAAAAATGCATTTGGGCTATTTGACCCCAACAATAACGATAGTTATTTTAAAATTAAAAAAAATTAGTGGCCTAAAATATGGTCAACCATTTATAAAAGTAGTATTAAATGGGATTAATAAAAGGTATTAAACCTATCACTATCAAATTAATTGCATATATTTTATGATAATGCAAGAACTGTTAATTTCTAGAAATAGAGGATGGATTGGGGAAGGATAACTTATCTCGATTTTTTATAGCAAAAGACAAAACAATAAATGTTTTTAATAAATTCCCCACGTTAAAAGAGTTGTTTATTAAGTATAATACCGCAATCCCCTCATCTGCCAATGTCATATTAAATGCCTAGCGTTCCAGTCTATCAGCTGAAATTTTGAAAAACAATTGTTATAAAAATTAATAAGAAAATTTTTTTATAAATAAAAATATTCGCTATATTATATTATATTGTATTTATAATTATATTATCAAAATAAAACTATATATTTTTTTAACATGAAGACATTTATTTAAATAAAATCTATATAATTTTGAACAAACCACGCGTTTATGAATGTGAACGAGCGTGAACGCGTTCCTTTTTTTGAAAGTGAACGTGAACGCGTTCGATTTTTTTTAATGAACGTTGAACGCGAACGCATTCGATTTTCTTAGAAATGTTTACAGCACTAGTAAATAGCTAAATTGTTTTATAATATTGATAAAGTTATAACCATCCTTCACTGGGACTCGATCATGTTTTTAACATGTTCCTTTTTAAACCAATTTTTACACTTTCATTTATTTTTTGAAAATTTAGAATGGATGGAAGTTGGACCACTCTAACGAAAACGAAGGTAATATTATATATCGTAATTAGCATATAAGTGTTTTTCTCTAAAATATTCTAAAAGATTATATTTTTATTTTAATAAGGTTAGGATTAATATAATAGTAAGAAAAGGTTCCAACTAAATATAAATAAATAACCTTTTCATTTTTGATAATTTTCGTGAAATTTATCTAACAATTTTATAACCTGTTTCAGGAGTTATAAATTGAACACACATTCATTTTATTGTATCAAAGATCTGTTATTTTTGTAAAATTTATCAATAAACTAGGCTATATATGATTGACTAAATAGTAGAGCTGTGCCGATTTAAATATAGGATCGAGTGCTTTGTGCCTTCCTTATATAAAAAAAATTGCATTTATATGATTACTAGCTGATAGATCATCAAGTTTGACAAATAATTAGAATTTTTTCCTTAATTTTATGATGGATGAATTAAATTAAAAACCATGCTTTATGAATTATCACTTTTATTAAATATCATAGGTCTTTAATTTTGCAACTTGGTAAATCTATGGAATTATTATCATAGAAGTAGATTTTGGTTTCGTTATTTAATACAACTCAATTGCCGTTAGCATAGCTGATATTTTTAAAATTTTACCATTTATTTCCATATTGGCTATCGTATAAGATATTTCATGTTATGCATGCACTTTCAACTGAATACCTCTCTTTTCTGAAGATTTGGCCTTTCTACTTGCATTCCATAGTTTTGTATATTTTCTTATCACTTCATAATTGTTGAATGTATGTTTATTATAACATTTTTGATTAAATGTATAACCTTTTTGTTTTACTTATATATAATTTGACTATGATTGAAGTTAATCTACTATTATTGTTAACTTATCTTTTTATTTTTTCTATTATAATTTATTAACAATGTCTTAAATTTAATTTTATATTTTGTATTTAAGTAATAAATCATTTGTTATTTGGTGGGGTGGTGGTTTGTTTAAAATTTAAATTAGGATGAACATATTTTCACTGATTTTTATAAGGCATGGTACTTTAATATGTATTCATGAATTTCATATAAATACCAGGAGCTAACAAGTAGAATGATGGGTAAATCAGATATTTTCCCTTCATTTGATTATAAATTATTTTGAAAAATTTTCCCAGATTTAAGGGGTTTATAATACGAATTAAATCTGTCTAATATGTACATTTTTTTTTGTTGCCATTTTATTTTTTCTGGATCCAAGGAAAAAATAAATTATGATGGGTTTTGCTGGGCTTGGGAAATATTTTTCACTATTGGGCTTGGACCTGGTTTGGGAAAAAATTTTAAAAATTATTATGGTCTTAGATGCTTGAAAATTTTTTTTGAAGACATGGCCCTGATCAAAAAACCAAGGCGCATGCAACTTTCATATTCTGATTGTAATTTTAAATGCATTATAACTTTTTATATATTTTATTTCAGTTCTCAATTACCAAAATTATTATGGTCTTTGGTGGGTTTGAGAAAATTTTCCCAAGTGTCTGGATCTGGCTTGGGAATATTTTTAATATTAGGTATTAGGCTTAGGTGTAATATTTAACACAGAATATTTATATGGATCTTAAGTAAAAGTTAAAATATATTTTTACTCAAAAAATAGTATTCACTCTTAGTCTTAATGCGTTGGCCTGAAGTAGGAGTAAGTGGGGTTAAAAAGAATAATATGATTTTTAGAGATTTACCTATCTCCAGGCTTGGGAATAAATTTTGAAAATTACTATGGGTTGGCCAGGCTTGGGAAAATTTTCTTTATAAAATTTTTATAAGTTGGGCTGGGTTTGAAAAATATTTTTGTAAATGCCTGGGCTTCGGGAAAACTTTTCAAAATTATTATCAGCTTGAACCCTTGGGAATTTTTATTATTAACTATGAGTTAGACATTGGCCTAAAACAATTTTTTTTTCAGGCCTGGGATCGGCCTGATCATAAACCAAGGCCATGAAAATCTAATTCTGATTGTATTTTTAAATTCATTATGATTTTAAATATTTTATTTCAGTTCTCAACTACCAAATATATTATGATTTTTCATTGGTGTACCTTGCTGGGAATTTTTTTAATATTAAATATTAGGCATAAGTGATCAGTAATATTTAACAAATAATATAGATGTTTAAATATATTTTGACTTAAACCATAGTATTTACACTTGGTTTTAATGGATTAAACCTGGCCTGAGGGGGGAGGGGGTAAAAAGAATAAAAATTGGTTATTTTTAAATAACAGGTAACAACTATCATAAAAGTAAGGATAAAATTCTCATTCCCCGTCATTTTTGACGGGCTATCCACTAGTTATATTATAAACTGTTTAAAATAATTTCCTAGACGGGCTGTGCTCGGGTCTAAAAAAATTAAAAAAAGGTCAGGCTTGGGCTTGAAAAATTTTTAAAAAATGATATTTTCTCTTATTTTTCAAAACACAAGGAATTTCTGCGATATGAGGGAAAATAAATTAATGATTTTTGTTTTTATTTCATATAAATGCTTCAGATTTATATTTTTTTAATTAAAAATTACGGGCTAAGCTTGGCCATAAAATAAAAAAATAGAATCTGCATGGCTCTACCCTGCGTTATATGCATCTTATTGTAATTAATTTATTTAAAGATCAAAAATATAAATTTTTAATTTTATTTAATAAAAAATATGGCATAAATAGTGACAATTTTTTTTCAGTTATTTTTTTCCAGCTCAACACATTTTTTTTATTTACCATTAAATTTTTGATATTTTTTTATATGATAAGTTTTAGTCAATTTAATAAGCTTTTACAATATTAACATAAAATAAAGCGCATTCATTTTTTACGTAACGAAACGCATTTCTTTTTCAAACGTAATGAGTAACCCTGCATTTACAATTAACTTGAATTCGCGGCATTTATATCATGTTTCGCCCCTAATTCGCGCAATTGTAAATCCAGAGTATCCCGTTTCTTTTTTGAAGTAACGTATATAGCACTAATAGTAAAATGTGGACTATATCTAACCATCTTACTTGCTTTATTTTTTAATTTAAGGGCAATTGATTGAATAATGAATATCCAATCATCATACACACTCATTTTACAAAAAATAAGTAAATTGTATTTATTAAAAATTAAATATATTTGCTTGATCCTATAAATGTTCATTTGTTTTAGTCTTTTAATTAAATTTATAAACAGCAATTCACCTCGAAACAATTCCATATGACGCCGCTTCTTCTAAATTTGTTATCCCCGATCTAATTGTTAATAATACGATCGATACCGTTAAAAACTGGTTGGAACAAACGTTGAATACTTCACTCGATAAAGATAGAATTTACAGGATGGATTTGAGCCGAAATTTATGTTCATTCTATGGTGGACCTAAATTTTTAGAAGGGTTTTAAAATATATATTTCAAATTTTTGTTAATAGCGTTTAAACGCTAGATGCAGGAAAAAAGTTAACGGATATGGGCCTATTATATGGTAAAATGGGGAAATTTTTAAATAATCCTTAAAAAAAAATCTATCCATATTAGAAATGCACTGATATACCACTTTAAATAATACCAATAAATCTGTCAATATCAAAACCAAAAAATTAACTTATATTATAATTATATGTAGAATTTATTGCGAATATAAGTGAGGACTCGGAACAAAGGCATTTTCCTGCCTAAAAAATTTGTTCAAATTTACGGAAGATTCTGGAACGCATTCCTTAAAAGATCTAATTTTTAATATAAACTTTTTATTTACCCATTTATAATATCGATCAATTATTATATCTAAGTATTAATTAAGACATTCTCTAAAAGGTTATTAATTGTATGATCTTGTTAATATAAATTTTAAGCGTCGAAAAAACACCTTTCAACACTAACTTGCTAAATTATCTTATTGAAGTCAATTTATTATATGATATTAATTTTAGAAAAATTTAAAACTGCATCAAATTGCAGCGTCCCCAAATTACCGCTGCGTTTAATTATCTCTATCAAATGATCACGCCGATTTGGCACACGCAAATAGACATACGCTGAATTGTCGTTGCATCTAATTATCTCTGCCCCAAATATTTCGGGCAGAGTTGATGTGATGAGTTGAACGCGTTTGTGAACGAAGTTCGTTTTTTTTGAAAAAATGGTGAACGGCGTTCCTTTTCGAACTTTGAACCTGAACGCGTTCCTTTTTTATGACGAACGCGTTCGAATTTAACGTTCATTCAATTTTAAAAACACTTTATTTTTATATATTTGAAAAATTTAATATTAACCCGAATTTTTTAAGAATTTTATAATCAACTTTTTTTCATATTTCAATTTTTTTAACCTGCCATTATTATAGTTTAATAAACGTTGAACGCGAACGCGTTCGATTTTTTGAAATGTTTACAGCACTATGTGATACCAATGAAATTTATGTCATGTGAATAAAGCTGGAATGTGAATACGCCACAAAATATTAATTTACAATTATATAAAAAATTTAATTAAAATTTTCATATTATCTTCTAGAACATCATGAAATAATCGTTTCTGTTACCTTTGCCTTCTATAATTTCTCAAGTTCCGTTTCATGTCCCTATAAATTAATTATTTATTTATCATTTATCAGAGACCTGCAAAGGTGCCATTTGCATAGCCCGGCCCAGATTTTTTTTTCAAATTTTTTGACCCAGCCCTTTTATAAATATATTTTATTTATTTTTATGACTAATGGCAAAATAATTGGTTTTAATACGTTCCACCCCGGGTATTTTTTAATTAAAATTTAAGCCCGGCCCAGGTATTTAAAAAATTTAATATGTCCAGGCTCGTCTAGCTTAGGACCGGGTCTGCAGGTTTCTTTATTTATAATTATTTATAAAAATAATAATAAAAGTTTTATAAAAAATAGGATAGAATATTTACCCCATTATTTCTCTCTTATCGCTTTAAAAATATTTAAATCAATTTTTTTTTAATATTAATTTCATGGCCTAATATAGGTTTAATAAAATTAAAATTTATTAGGGTGTTATTTTGGGAATCGATGTTTATATTGAAAGTATCGGCGCATGATGCATAGATTGCTAAACTAAATCACAAAGATGAAATTTATAAACAATAATCGAACTTTCTTTTCCATTTTTTATTATGTTACTTTTATAAATTAAAAAGACTCCAAAATTTGGCTCGGAAGACTTTTTCCCAAAATTTGCATTTGGACATTCCGTCATATCATTCGTACTTTGTAGAACTCTGCATTATTCCTTTTCACGTTGATGAATTGAAGCTAATAGATGTATTTGAACTATCTTACATAATTGATGGTCAAAATAGTATTCAACACGGCAAAAAATCAAAATTTTTACAACATTTTTTAAATATTTATATAACTCATTTTTCCTAGAACAAAAGGTTTTTTTTACCTCCTAATATTAAATATTATATATAACTTGTTTTTAAACCTACATTTGAATAGATGGTAGTTTTATATTATGTATTTCAAAACCTACGATTTAGTGAAAATTCTCTCTTTTCCTCCGTGCAAATATTTCATCATAATATATATAATTTGTAAATAGTTGTACAATAAAATTTACTATAATTTTTAATATTATAACATAAAGAGTAAAAGTGTTCCCTTTAAGATATTTAAATATTTTGAATATCCGAAAGAAATGATCATTGTTTAATCTCTTATAATACCTTTGGAATTATGTCAAAAATGGTAAAAGTGCCCTCTTTAATATATATGTAATATAAAAACATTTTAAATATCCGAAAAAATGATCATTTTAAAAATACAGAATATATTGTTTAATCTCTTATAATACTTTTAAAATTATGTCAAAAATGTTATTTTTGATCATTTCACTATAATGAACTAGTCCATAACTCAGACTTAGGCAGACTTTGAAAAATATATTTTATTTTTTCTTGCTCATTTATGGTTAATTTCACCGCTATTTGAGATTCCTTGTGTTACAACATTAAATTTAAATTTGTTAACAAGAACAAAAATAATATCATGATGATAAAATCCAAATGTTAATCATATAGTTATAATCAGTTAGACCTGTAAATGGATAACGAAGATGATTTAATTAATAAAATAATTGATATGTAAAATTAAGAGATTATATAATAATTTGTTTTTATTACATAATTAGAATTAGTGATCTGCATCGGGCCTAATATTTCAACCCGGCCCGAAATTTTTTATAAAGTTTTGCCCCGCCCGAATTTATTTAAATATAGAAATTAATTTTTATAATTACGCAAAATAAACGATATATGTTATTTGGCGTCTTTCTATAAATAACATAATTTTATTTTACATAAAAAATTCAACATAAAATTGATAAATTTAGATATATTTTTAAAAAGTTTTAAGGCCCGACCCGAATTTCGGGCCGTGTACGGGCCGGGCCTACTTTTGCAGATCTCTAATTAGAATTACCAGACGTTCTTAAAAAGGAGCGTTGTATCCAAAATGTACGATATATATTTAATTAGGAAAAAGTACATAAATTATCAGAAATAATGTCGTTTATGCGAAACATATTTCTAGATTTATATTGTATGCACCTTACATTTATTATCCTTAGTCCTTGGTCAGAACTTCTACAAGAATTCAATGTTTCTAATGGACTGGAATTAAAAATGTTTCGAAGTGCAATCTAAATAGATATAATTGTTCCTCGATCAAATTTGTTATCTTAAGTTCTTCATATAAATATTATTATTTTATACATATTTTGTATTTGATAATTTATATTTTTTAAATTTGTTTTTAAATTAAGTTAGGTGAGTGTTTGCATTCAGACCCATGCAAACAGAGGAATGGGCTGGATACTAATAAATATTTTTCTCTATTTTGCTAATTTCTAATAACCTTTTATTGCAATTTTGATTGCCAGTTTTCTTAAGGATCGCCTAATTTTTACCAAAAAGTCCTAACAAGACCTTGGCTAAGGCATCCGATTTTTTTTTTATTTATTTTTTTTTATGTTAATATTTTATCAATGACATATTTTTTTTAGATATATTGTAATTCAAGTTCATTAAATTAATTTTAAGCAAATTATTTTTAATCTAAATTTTAGATTTTTTAATGAGACCGAGAGACATGCAAACCCTAAATCACAAACGTCAATAAAATTAAAACTACTTGATAATATTGAATAAGTAATATCTTATTTTATTCCATTTATTTACTTTTATGCTATACATAAAAATAATTTTTTAAAATTATACTTTTTTAACAATATTAATTTATCCGAAAATAATATTTGGGAAAGGATCAGCTACACCCGGGGAAGGTTGAGTTTTCCATGGCGCTTTTGAGCTGCTAATATTTTATTAATATAAAAATGATATATATCAGAGACCTGCAGAAGTACCATTTATACCGCCCGGCCCGGATTTTTTAAAAAAATTGTTATACCTCCCGGGCCGTGTACCTAGGCAGAGTTTGCAGGTCACTGATATATATTATTGCGACTAATTTATTTATAAAAATATAATAGAAAATAATTATAAAAATTGGTAATTTATTGTCAATTTAAACAAATAATGAATGGATTAAATTGCAAAAGGATCCATGCGAAAAAAGCGTATTTACAGAATCAATTTTTATTAAGTTTTTCTTCCTTCTAATATGATTCCTCATCATATTCAAATTTCAATAAGCAAAAATAACTCTCAAGAAGCTCATAACAACTTCTGAAAAGTAGCCCCAGATCCTCGATATCTTCCAATCGTAATTTACGGAAGTTTAAACATTTTTTATTCAAATAAAGAACAATTTTATAGAATAGGGTTTAATCTTTTATATAATATTAATGGATAATTAAAACCTTTATTTATTTTTGATAAATTGAAGAATTTTAAAAAGTTACTTTTGAGAGTATAAATCATATAGTGTGTTATAAAAATTTTATATGTGATTCGAATTTAAAAAATACACATGATTTTTAATTGAGTTATAAATATTGTTTTGATTTAAATAAATAACTCACCAAGATTATTTTGGCTATATTATAATTATCGATTATATTTTAGTGTTAATAAGTAATGTAGTTTAATATGAAGAAACCTTACTTCTACAAATTGACAACAACATTAAAAAATGTATTATTGCAACATCCATTGTCAACCAAAGATAAAACTCAGCGTTATCCGATATAGTTGACTTGTTATATTTATTTTTATAATTATTAATTAAATTTTTTGTCTATAAAAAAATATTATTTGTCTTCTAGTTTCTAAATAATATATATAATTCTATATCAAATCAACCAAGGTTTCATCCCGACTTCTTTTAATTTTTCTTAAATTTTGCATACTGATAGTATATA